GGTTCTTCCCATTTTTTTCCCCACCCCCCCGCCCCCTTATATAATAAAGTGCAGTGCTCCCGGAGGTCCTCGCTCTTAATCCTCTCTCTCGCAAGAGCATCGCGTGCTTCTTAGAGTATCAAAAACGTTTGTTTTTTCTATCTGATTGTAAAATGGGAGTCTCTTCCGTTTCTTTAAAAACATGATTTTGCGTTGGTCGTCTGGTTGGATGTTTTCTTTTGTGTCTCCTTTCCCCTCTCTTAGCGGTTTTCCGAGCGAGGGAGAGAGAGAGAGAGAGAGAGAGAGAGAGAGAGAGAGAGAGAGAGTCTGTATCTGTAAGAGAGAGAGAGAGCCCAAAGGGGGGGGAGAGATAAGATTGGGGGGGGGGGGGTAGGGAAAGGGGGGGGGGGTGTCAAGAGAGATAGAAAGAGGCTGAGAGCTATAGGGAGAGAGGGGGTGACATCTAACACACACACACACACACACACACACACACACACACACACACAAGAATATATATACATGTAATAATACACGTATTTATATGTATATATCCAGGTCACATAGCACCTTTTAGCAGGACAGAACCTCCCCAGTGGACTTATCTATGTGTATTCGAACGTGATAGCACCTCGTCCAGTAACTGTGGTGATGGCGAGGGTGGACAGTGGTCAGTTTGTGTCAACAAGGACGTGCCAGGAACTGTCTCAAGGCCCAGGATAAATTGAACAGGTTATCTCAGCCCACTGGTCAACAGCACCGGAAATGTGGAACGATTACCGTCCATTCTGAGGCCATACTAGATCTAACCAACTATTGAATCAAGTGGTTCGGTCATCTGATGAGGGAGTCCCCCAAAGTCAACAAGCTGCTCTAGCATACAAAAACTATAACTAGATCTATAACTATAACTCAAAGGAGATTTTTTGGGGTGGGGGTGAGGGGGGGGGGGGGGGGGGTGGGTAAGTGTTTTACAGCGCTCGCAACTGAATAAGGTCATATGTGCGCGCGGGACACATTAAACACTTTCATTTGGTTGGAAATATTGAATTTTGCCCGGGTGGCAGCCAAAGCCTACTCTTATCGATTTTGGACCTCCGTGGGATCTTTAACGTGCACAACTTGCACACGGGACCTCTTAGATTTTTCGCCCTTGTCCGAGAAGGCTAGGTGTAGATCCTTCCTACCAGAAGATCAGGGGTATGGCTGAAAGACAGCAGTAAGAAGGAGCCAAGGAGTAGCAGTAGAAAGTCTGCAGAAAGAGTCAGGAGCCCAGAGGAGGGGGCAAAGGAGGTGAGGGGGTGGGGGCAGAAAGTGGAGACGAAAGCAGACGACTGAACATTGCTAGAGAGCAAGAAAGGAGGTGAAAGGAGACAATTTTAGAGAGGATAATGATTTCGTCGATACCCTGATTCGAACCCGGGACCTTTAAATGAGTGGTAAACACCTCAAGCTCTAGGCCACGGGAGCCCCCAAAAGAGTCGAGGATACAAGAGCAGGTGTAATTTAAATTAAAAAGTAATAAATGCGAAAAGAAAAAAAACCCACACACACTTTCTCTTACAACAGTAACTTCTCTCTCTCTCTCTTCTCTCTCTCTCTCTCTCCCCTCTCTCTCTCTCTCTCTCTCTCTCTCTCTCTCTCTCTCTCTCTCTCTCTCTCTCTCTCTCTCTAGCCTCTCCCGCCTCCCCCCTCTCTCTCTCACACACAAATTTGTCTGTCTGTTTTAAACACAATACACCCATGACTACTCAAAACATGCTTTTCTAAACAAAATGCCGTCATCGCCTCTGTAAAATATTTTTTGCTTCGTTACGTTCCACAAATAAACGTTCTTTTTCAGTTTTCTTTATTTCTACTCTCTGCATTAATTTTTTAATTTTTAAAACCCATGTCAAGGAGGAGATTGACCCTGCTCTTTTTAATTTTAAGTTTCCTATTCAATATTACATTCTACTCTTTGGATAAACTTTGAACGACAGTGTGTGTGTGTGTGTGTGTGTGTGTGTGTGTGTGTGTGTGTGTGTGTGTGCGTGCGCGCGTATACGCAGGTATTTCGAGGACGAAGTTTTCCACAAAAATCAGGTGTATTGTTTTTTACTTGAGACTTCTCGGCAGCCTTTTTTCTATTGTGATTTTCCCTTCGTAAACAAAATACCACAGGCCGACGCCACGCCCTTG